CGCTATCCTGGAATTTTGAACGGCACAACGCTTGAGCTGTTGTAGCTCAAAGTTCCAGATCGTTCGGACGATGACGGACAACCAGAAGCGCAGTATTGACGATGAACTAGCACTGTAAGTTTTTTTTTTTGAATTTTAAAACAAAATTTTTTAAAGGTTCTTTTTTGCATAATTATGAAAGAGGTGAAAAGGCTTTTTGGAATTTTTGCATGGCGAGGGAGAAACTGGCAGGAATATTTATGTTGAAGAGAAAATTTTTGCCATTTTTTGTTCAGATGGTTTTGAGCCGATGTGGTCATATTATAGGCGGATCCAGAACGGACTTCTGGAGGAAAGGGGCGGAGGGAGGCATTTTTCATGCCCCGGACCGCCCACTTTAACGACTATGGTTCGGCCTGCCAAACGGCCGCAAATTATTTTAACAAACTTATTCCACCCTTCGTTTTAACTTTCCCTCTCCGGCTGTTCCAGATTTTGATTTCTTTGGACCGTCCACTTTTTTTTAAGATTACGATTCGGCCTTCTACTGGTCGTAATTTATTATTCCAAGTAGTTAGTGCGAAAAACGGTTAATCAGTTCTTACAGGTTTGAAAAAGAGATTGCCTTGGTGGAATCTAGCTCGCAAAATGCTTTATCCGAAAGTGCTAATTCCGACGTGGCCGGAGAAGCAGAGCCTGAAGGCAGCGCAACTCCTGGCGTCTCAACCAGTCCAGCGGGTGTCTCAACAAGTCCAGCAATTGAGCACCAGCATCCCACTACTGTTCACCCTGAACGGAAACGCGCTATCGGCCCATTTGCAAACAATTCAATGCCAGCTGCCCCACTCAGGCCACCACTTGGCCCTGCACCTCCGTGAGCATAATTTTTGTGTTTATTGTCTTTTTTTTTTAAATACACTTGTACAACTTATAAAGTCATTGCACATACAGGCTTGCTTATTTGGGAGATCTAAATGACACTACTTCCAGTGTTTTCATTAATTATCAAAATTCGAGTGTGTTCCTCTCTACGCTGGTGGGCCAAAAACGCCAAACAAACTGCATATGTTAACACATAAACGATTTCAGGGCTCCCGTTTCTTCCAATCTCCTAGCCAGGGATATTCATTGTTTGTCTCTCTAAAATTTCTACAATACTTATAATCACTGACGAAAGCAAAAGTGTGAATGCTTTTCTGACGAGGAGAGCAACTAGAGCTTGAAGCAACCCTCATAAGCAATCGCCTCACAGAGGGGCAATGTGCAGAATCTCATTACGACCATTTAAGATAGTGAATCCCCGATGAGAGGAATAGCAGAATAAAGGGATTGACCGAATTTTGTGCTACAGTGTTATCTGAGGGATGGAACAAAAAAGCAAATATTTGTGTTCTGTAATCCACTGGACACTGCTAACACACCTCATACGTACAGGGTCCCAGACTCGGTTACAATGCGGCTGCCCTTGTAACCAAGAGTACCAAGACCTTTCGGGCAACCGGTGCGGAGATCAGTATTAGTTATGTTAAACTGTGCCATATATAAATCAAACAAGACTTCCTCACTTCCTCATCGTCCGCAAAAGTCGATTCGTGAACTTAGGTGTCATGTATAAGAAGACATTTTACAATGATACAGTCTGTGTTTCATCCCTCACCGAATTAAGTGTGCGGGTAGGAGCGGAGATCAACAGTAGCATGTTACTTGCCCTTCTTAGAATGATACTAAACATCGTGTGACAGCGGTATTATGCGCGAAAATAAGCAGTCTGTCTGATTTGCTACGTCCATGCAATTGTCACTTGGGGCAAGCAACCTGTGAATTTCACATAGCTTTGGTTTTAGTTTTTGAATAGATCAATTTTATGCGTAAATCAACATTCTTCAGCATTTGCAGATTTTTGCCTCCTATGATAATGCGCCCAGCTTTTATGTCACCTCCATCAAATATGGCTCTACGTTTCCTGCCGCCTCAGGTCGGTTTTTTTTTTTTGATTTGTTTTTGTTTAAATCAAAAAAAAACCCTTAGGGGAGGAAACTATGTATGCTTGTTGCCGAAATTACCAGGATTGCCTGGACAGACGGGGATGAGGGCTTGATTTCAACGAAATAACGTGGAAATCTCAATACCGAACACACTTCTGTTTCGGAGGGGAGCCGTATTCTCGAGCCGGTACCGTCCTCTTCGGAAACGGCGTGGATGGTTTCTTAATTTTGTCACGGGCGCTGCTCAGCGGCTCAGGACTTCCAGCTGTTGCAACAGATTTTACTTTCGTGTTTGTTCGCAGTGGCAGCTTAAAAATCCGCTTATTTGACGTATAATTTATTTTGAGACCATACCATTTATTGGTTGTTATTTTTTGATGCATTAGCCGAATTTTGACTGTATTTTTGTATATGTTAAACCCAGCCAGACCTGCGTTTTTTTCAGTTTGCTAGACAATTAAGCTGTGTATTTTCTTGCATTTTCAGCTCCGTCTGCCAATGGTGAATTTTATGCGGCCACCGCTTCAGTTCCAGCCGAATATCATTGAATCGGGGCCGAGTATGTATGAGGCAGCGGCCAAGGTTGACGTGCAAAACAATTACAAAGAGGCAGGTGCAGGACCAAGCGCAATGAAAACCCAGGTTTAAAATCCCTCAGTTTTGCCCTATACGGTGCTGTCCTGTGGAAATTTTGTATTTTTAGAACAAATGAAGTGCATTTTGTTTAGGCATTGGTATCTGATGTGGAAGCGGTAGCCCATAAAAGACAGTCTGAAGCGTTTCATCGTTCAGCCTATATGAATGCGAATGCGCGTGGTGAAAAAAAGTCGAAAAAACGATTCTTGCGTTGTGGTGGAGGGCAGGTAAAGTACGCTCGAATTCATTTCAAGCGTTAAATTTTCTGCTCACTTGTTTTGCATAAAAATTGCAGGTTTGGGAAGATAAGTCGCTAACAGAATGGGATCCAAACGATTTTCGTATATTTTGTGGCGATCTCGGTAATGAAGTATCGGATGAATTGCTGGCGAAAGCTTTCCGTAAATATCCCAGTTTCCAGAAAGCTAAAGTCGTTCGTGAGGCTCGAACGAATAAATCGAAGGGTTACGGATTTGTGTCTTTCAAGCATCAGGATGTAAGTTGCTCTGTATTTTCTGTGAATTTAAATGCGCTTTATATTCGCATCTAGAATGAAACGAATTAGTGAAATTTGCAAAGGCACTGATTAGCTCTGAGAAACAAATTGGATGTTAATTTGGTGTAGGGAGTAGTGAGAGAGGTAAAAATGAAGTAAATGTGAAGCGGGCAGGGGTTTTTCCTTAATGATACTTGATGTTTTGTGTAGATTGTTGTTCTGGACCGTGAATACCCCTTCCAACTGCACAGAAAAAATCCCAGGGTGAGAAGAAACAATTGCTGGTTGTGGACACCATGAAATTCGCCTCCAAGCAACTTATACCTAAAAATTTTACGTTTTTGGCCTTAAATAAAACTAAATTTTTCCCCTCTCATGAGCTTCATACTTTCAGTAAAATACTGTAAAATACTGCTTTGTTGATTGTAGGCTATTCAGAGATGAAAACGGAGTGTGAGCAGAGTGTCCTGTAAACTTTTTTCTTTTAAGGATTTTGTCCGTGCATGCCGTGAAATGGATGGTAAATACGTTGGCAATCGGCCAATAAAGTTGAGGAAGAGTAACTGGAAGGAGCGAAATTTGGATGTTGCAAAAAAGAAGAAAAAGCAGAAGCAAAAACTTGGTTTAGCTTAAGCTATGCCCTGTTCTTGTGCGCTGCTATTGTTGTTTGGAATCGTGTATTGCATATAGAGACACAAATGTTTTCTCATTTCATTTTTATTTTTTTATTTTTTTTTTCTCTCAAATTTCGTAAATTATTCAAAAAAGAGTCAATCTCTTACACTGTGTATTGTTTGTGATGAGTAAATCTTTTAGTGTATTCGAGAAGAATACGCTACACCTGGTGATGCGAGATTCTTTCCAAATTGT